ACCGTCATCGTATTGGTCGGTAGGTTGACCCTTTTTTTTTTACATATATTTGATAATGAAAAAATTCATGTGAATAACTTAAAGAAATTTATAAATCTGTTTTTATTAACAATTAAATAGTAGCTACAATGTTCCCCAAAACAATCTTTCTTATACAGAAAATTTTTTATATATGCTTGATCAATTGTCTGAGAAAAATTATAAACCAAATCCAAAATTAGCCAGAGCTCTTGACATTTTATTCATTCTTCATGCTGGTGAGAATAATAGTATTTACAACAGATTAAAACTAAATAAGATTAAATGAAATTTTGCAATAATAAAAGGGTTTTAAAAGCTCAAGAGGGACTCAAATTATCATTTAATCCGATTTAATTTTAAGATCTACGATAATATTTAATAACAATCAATTACTTTTATTAATTTTAGACCATGAGCTTAATTGTTCAACAGCAGCGATGCGTCATATTGGCTCATCACTTGTTGACCCTTTCAGTGCCATATCAGGAGCTGCTGCTGCTTTATATGGTCCGCTCCATGGTGGTGCTAATGAAGCTGTATTGAGGATGCTGGAGGAAATTGGCTCAACCGATAAAATACCAACTTTCTTACAAGAAGTTAAGGAAAGAAAAAGAAAATTATTTGGTTTTGGTCATAGAATTTATAAGAATTATGACCCAAGAGCAAAAATTATTAGAAAAATTGCTTATGAAGTAATATATTTATTATTTAATTTTTTTTTTTCTTATTTATGAATCATTTATTAATCATTTTTATATTCAGGTATTTGATGTTTGTGGTCGTGAATCTCTTATAGATGTTGCAATTGAATTAGAAAAAGCTGCATTGGAAGACGAATATTTTGTAAAACGAAAGCTATATCCTAATGTTGATTTTTACTCTGGATTAATTTATAAAGCTATGGGATTTCCAACTGACATGTTTCCAGTGTTATTCGGTAAAATTTCTTTCAACATATTATTCATCGTATATTATTGAACACATTTTTGATTATTTATTCGTTATCTTAGCAATTCCACGAGTTGCAGGATGGTTAGCGCATTGGAAAGAATCATTAGAGGATAAAGAATCTAAAATTTGGAGACCAAGACAAGTTTATGTTGGTCCTAGTGTTAGGTCTTATGTTCCTCTGGAACTTCGAGAAACTGAAAACAACGTTGCTGTGGCCAAAGTACTAGTAAGTTAATCAAGATTTTGTTAACCATTTAGTTATTTAATACATTAATAATAATTACTAATTAAAATTTTAGCATCCATTTAGTAAGAGAACATCAGTGGCTACATTTGATGCTGATGACAAGATTCAATCAAAATTATGAACTAATTCTTTATGGATTTTAACATGGGATTTCTTTTTTTATAACTAATTTATTCTTTTATAGAATAATTTGAAAAATAAATATTTTTAATGATATTATTATTTATTACTTGTGTGCTCGTTATTTAGAGTGTGCTTATGGCGTTATTTAGAATATGAAATATATGAGTTGATTTTCTGAACGCACATGATCAGCATTGCGTATCATTCGGTAATTTTTAACAATATGATAACGATAACAAGATCAAAAGTTCATGGGGGTCAGTCCAATTATCATGTGATAAAGTACAAAATATGCAGTTTTAAATACAAAATATACTCTTAATATTATTTTTGTATAGAAACAAATTCTTATAAAAATCATGTTAGGAAAAAAATGCTGCTTTGAATCTCTTTACCAGACTCAGCCTTTTACTATTTAATACGTAATTTACTAGATTTTTAATGAATCTTGATCGTAATATTATATTTTATATTTAATATAATCTTATTCATAACTATAAAAATTACCGGTGACTAGCTGAACTTTTAATTCGAACGAATTAAGACCAAACTATTAATCCAGTCATTAAATTAAATTGTTTGGGAACTAGATTTTTTGGACCACTAACAGTATTATTCCTACGTTTTAGACAATTTTTTAAACTTATTATTACGCAAGCAATGTAATTTAGAGTGACATCCACTTTATATATGCAAATCGTGATTTCAAAATTATACAAGTGACTTGAGGATAAATTTGTATCTGGTTCGAAACTCTATTTCTATCAAAAACGCAAGTATATAAAAGAAATATCATATTTGCTGAATAAGTTTAGGGGCAATCCTCCTTTTTTTCTGTACGTGTTGATTGTGAGCGATAATATCATCAGATTTCTGTTGCAATGATCTTGCATCCATTGGATCCATTACTGTTTCAGAAATAGTATTTTGAATTGATTGCATATGATTATTATCACAGTGGTCAGAATGAACATTTGAGCTGGTCAAAGTCACGTCTACTGAATCAACTTGTGATAAATTTACAATGGATTTGTCGTCCCTACACATTGGCACATAATCAGTATAATGTTCACCTAACTCTCTTTCCCGAAACGTTATAACGGAACAATATCCATCATGTGATGCTAACATGAGTGAATTTCCGTCTGGCGACCTAAATATATATGTTGATAATCAGAATAAAAAACTAGCCAAAAAGTTAAAAATAAACCACGTTACCAAGACATATCAGAAAATGTTGCAAAATGCAAATTTGTCGCTATAGCCAATGGAGCACTCTGTTCTGTGTCATATATAAACACAGTATCTTGAGTCGCCACAGCATAAATTATGCGATATGGTAAGTCAAATAAAGGCTTTGAGTGATCACCAGACAATTTGTCACTAAAAGAATTGTCGGCAATAAAGCTTTCTGAGCTCATTTTCAGTGGCATGGTATCAATTTGTGCTTGAGGATTTTTACGAGGAAAACGTAAATTATAAAATAAATGATTGCATTTTACGACAACAGACGGTTTCTTATATCCTGGTAGAAAGGCGATCGGTCTAACAGAATAAAATAGTTTTCGAAATTTTAATAAGATGTACGACATAAATATAAATACATGTATAAACTTACTTGTTTAACCCATTTCTAGCATATAAATAAACGGTGTTTAGAATTGTTAAATCGGCTTTATAATTAATTTCATCTTTATCACTTTTATTATTTATTATGTCGATAATAGAATTACGATATTGTCCAGCCGGCGTAAGTAATAATCCACCATCTGGTGTAAATTCTAATCGCCTAAAAAATGTATTTATCATCTCATCACAATATAGTCGAAAGTTCTTTTTATATTGTTTTTGTGTTGATAGTGTTATTGGCACCTGCGAAGGTTCAGTTTTTACGCTTTCCGGATACACCGAAACATTTAATATGGAATTAGCACTATCTAAAATATCATTTTCTGCAATCTTTGATTCAGAGTTTGTTGTAGGCTGCTTTTCAGATGTGAAAACTGTAGTATGATTATCATTAATGCTCTGTTTGTTTAAATCATCACACGCTTTGAAAATATCTTCTTTTACAGTCGATTTTGGACTTTTCTTGCTTGGAATTTCAACTTTAAAGTTTTTGCTAATATGAGTCGTTTCAAAAGTGCCATTTAAATGGATATTATACGAGTATATATGAACATTTCTAAGCAAAAATTACATTGAAATAAATCATTGTGAAAGAATTATATAAAAGTTCAAAAGGAAAAAAAGTCAAATACCGATCGTTGCTCTGAGTAACAATATATTCACCAAGTGGATCCCATGCAACGCCTTGAACATTACGAATATGGTCCATCAAAACACAAACACATTTTGCTAGAACGAGACCTATTTCGTGAGTAGCTTTATAAAATGCAAGCGTTATTTAAATCATGATCAAATTTATACCGTCTTTC